CGGAGATCAGCCTTAAATCCATCTCCCTGACTAAAATTAGGAGTTTATACAGCAGAACTATAACTACATGCAAGAAAACAGGAATCAGGGAAGGATAAGGAAGGGGAGTTGGTCAACAGGAAGCAGGTTCTGGGATAGGCAATCATGAAGAGTGAAAGATCTGGCCTCTCATTGTCCAAATGCAGTGATTTTGTGAGTTTCAGCTCCTTGATACTATCTGGGAGGCCTCATAGTTGGTTTCCTGAGAAAGGAACTCAGGTAAGACAAATGTAGCTTTTTCAAATTTTAAGACTGAGAGGGTCAATTTCTACATTTACTCAAAAGAAGCCATAAGCATCAGTTCTATGTGATGATTGGACCGATTTGAAATCCACATCTTTGCTTGGCTGCTTCTCCTGCCCTATCCTGCTTCCCTCCTCCTTTACAGATTTCACTTGGGGGCTGTCTCTCAATAAATCACTTCCATGAGGTTCCCTCTCTCAGGCTTGGCTTCTAGGGATTCTCAAGCATTGCCTTCTTTTCAGAGTTTCTTGTTTGGAGATGACGCCTGAGTTGCCTCAAAGGAGCAGCTCTCAGCCTGGTCTTCCACAAGGGAGGGATGGAATGCAGCTTTTTAGGTTCTGGAGCCTCTTACCACCTTAGATAAATGACTTGGCTTCATTTTCTTCATCTGTGAAAAGTGGTAATAATATTGACATTGCATGATTGATGGAATAATGTGAGCAGGTTATCTGGTACTTGGCAAACCTCCCTAAACTATGTGACCTTGTTCTCTAAATGGAAACAATGGCTACTGTTCCATAGGTTTTAATTTCTGATCATTTTCACTTCCTTTGTCCTATCTCCACAATCTGCTGACATAAGGGGATATGTTTCCCATGAAATCAATGGAGAACAGGGGGACTGGAATATCACTTCGACCCCTCTCTCTTGCCTTTTCTTCCCCAAGTTGGGAGAGCTTCTCAACTTTAGCAAAATCCATTTAGCACCAGTAAGCAAGGCAGGGAGGGGAGCCATACAGCAGAGGGGAACTGTGGACCTAACTCCTTCTTGGCTGCGTACCTTTCAGGAACATAAAATACAGACCTGCCGCAACAACTTTGCTCTGAAACACAGAGGGTGCCTGAAATGGTCCTCTTAAGAGCCAACTGGCTCCACCCAATGTGGTACAGGGTAAGTTTCATAAAGACTGAGCAGCTAGCCTGGGCAATGTAGCAAGATCTCCTCTCTAAAAATAAAAATTTTTAAAAATTAGCTGGGGGCCGGGCGTGGTGGCTCACGCCTGCAATCCCAGCACTTTGGGAGGCCGAGGCAGGAGGATCACGAGGTCAAGAGATCGAGACCATCTGGCCAACATGGTGAAACCCCGTCTCTACTAAAAGTACAAAAAATTAGCCAGGTGTGGTGGTGCATGCCTGTAGTCTCAGCTACTTGGGAGGCTAGGGCAGGAGAATTGCTTGAAACCGGAAAACGGAAGTTGCAGTGAGTCAGGATCGTGTCATTGCACTCTAGCCTGGTGACAGAGCAAGACTGTCTCAAAAAAAAAAAAAAAAAAAAAAAATTAGCTGGTTATGGTGACACATGCCCGTAGTCTCAGCTCCTCTGGAGGCTGAGGCAGGAGGATCACTTGAGCTCAGGAGTTCAGGGCTGCAGTGACCTATGTTTGCACCACTGTACTCCAGCCTGGACCACAGACTGAGACCCTGTCTCTAAAAAAAGTAAAAAAGACCGAGGCAACCTTGTGTGTTTTGATTTACAGCAATGTGTAGATATAGCGTCAAAAGGGAAAAGCCCTCTTATCATATTTCTCAGGGGACACTTAAGAAACTCATACCAGTGGTTGCTCCTGGAGAGGGGAGGGGCTGACGGGGGAAGAGGTGGAAGGGAGACTCACTTTTTAGTATTTATCTCTTTATGTCATTTGAAATATATGCTGTAAGCCTACAGTACCTATTCAAAAAATAAAATTTAGGTATGGTAAGGTGGTTTACACCTGTAATCCCAGCACTTTGGGAGGCCATCCTGGAAGGATCTCTTGAGCCTAGGAATTCAAGACCAGCTGAGCAACATGGCGAGACCCTGTTTCAACAAAAAAATTAAAAATTAGCTAGGCATGATGGCATGTGCCTGTAGTCCCAGCTACTTGGGAGGCTGAGGCAGGGGGATCGGTTGAACCTGGGAGGCTATAGTGAGCCAAGATCACATCATTGTACTACTGTCTGGGTGACAGTGAGACACTGTTCAAAAACAATGTTTTTAAATAAAATTTAGTTGGAAAACAATTTTTTTTTTTTTGAGACAGAGTCTTACTCTGTCATCTAGGCTGGAGTGCAGTGGCTTGATCTCGGCTCACTGCAACCTCTGCCTCCTGGGCTCAAGCAATTCTCCTGCCTCAGCCTCCCAAGTACCTGGGATTACAGGTGTGCACCACCACACCCAGCTAATTTTTGTATTTTTAGTAGAGATGGGATTTCACCATGTTGGCCAGGCTGGTCTTGAACTCCTGACCTCAGGTGTTCTGCCTGCCTCGGCCTCCTAAAGTGCTGGGATTACAGGCCTGAGCCACCACACCTGGCCGAAAAGCAAAAGTTTTTTGTCTTTATCATTCAAAGGCATCTCTTTTGTACTCCACTCTGAATTAATAAGACAGCATGAAAGAATTCAGGCAACTGGGAAGGCACTTCATTTTCAGGGTTTGTTGCAGCAAGGTGAAAATTATCTGTTGTTCCTTGAAGTTCAAAACGCAGGAGTGGCTCTGGATTTCCTGGGCCGCCTGGCAGGATACGTCTTCCAGGCAGCTGGCTTACAGGAACCTTCTCCCATTACTGAGGGTTTCCTGGGATGCCAGACACTTTATATCATTGACTCATTTCTCCTCAACTCTGTGAGGCAGATGCTAATAGTCTCTCCATGTGACAGATGAGGGAGCTGGGTCAGTGGCAGAGGATGCATTTGAAGCAAGTTTTGGCAGCTTCTGAAATCAAGCTGCTTTGGGAAAGAAAATGCCAGGGTCTGTGGGTTCTGTGTTTGCTTTCTCCACCTCTTCCCACATTTGGAACAAGCCCCGTCTCCTCTGAGGGAAGAAAAAAGGGAAGTAGGAACCGCAGAACTGGAGAGCATAGCCATGGCCAGGGACTGAAGCTTCTGGACACAACACAGTGGGATTTTTTTTTTTTTTTTTAAGACAGAGTTTCACTCTTGTTACCCAGGCTGGAGTGCAATGGCGCGATCTCGGCTCACCGCAACCTCCGCCTCCTGGGTTCAGGCAATTCTCCTGCCTCAGCCTCCTGAGTAGCTGGGATTACAGGCACGCACCACCATGCCCAGCTAATTTTTTGTAGTTTTAGTAGAGACGGGGTTTCACCATGTTGCCCAGGATGGTCTCGATCTCTTGACCTTGTGATCCACCCACCTCGGCCTCCCAAAGTGCTGGGATTATAGGTGTGAGCCACTGCGCCCGGCCCACAGTGGGATTTTGAGAAAAAAATTGAGGAAGGAGATCTCTGCTGACTTAACTGTCCTGTGCAAGGCAACCCTTTGCCCACCAACCCAGGCAGAACCAGCACATCCATTTACGAACGAATGTGTTCAATAAACAGATGTTGGGTCACCACTAGGTGCCAGGAACTGGGGTGCAGTGGTGAGGAACACAGACAAGGCCACATCCTCGTGGGGCTTACACTAAAGATTCCCTTCCCACTGCAGCTCCTAAATTGGTGATAACACAGTGCGGTGTGGAGAGCACTGGCTAGAATCAGACAGCCCATACCACCGCTTATAACTGTGATCTTGAGCAAATAACTTTGCCTCTCTGTGCTTTGGTTTCTTTTTTGTTTTAGGCAGAGTCTCATTCTGTTGCCCAGGCTGGAGTGCAGTGGTATGATCTCGGCTCACTGCAACCTCTGCCTCCCGGGTTCAAGCAATTCTCCTGCTTCAGCCTCCCAAGTAGCTGGAACTACCTACCCTGTGCCTCAGTTTCCACCTCTAAAATGGCGATGATCATAGTAATAGCCATCTCAGGATTGTGTGAGGGTTACATGAGATAATATGTGTAAAATACTTTGCTCAGTGCCTGGTACAAAGTAAGTCTTTTCAGGTCGACCTAGATAGGACACCTACTATGTGCTGGGAGTCACAAGGGACAATGAGAGCGGGTCCTGTCTTTGGGGAGTGCTTGACATAGGAGATATTGAGAAAAGGAGATGCTAGATACAAATTTGCAGGTGGAGCATAGTGGCTCAAGCCTGTAATCCCAGCACTTTGGGAGGCCGAGGTGGGCGGATTGCCTGAGGTCAGGAGTTCAAGATCAGCTTGGCCAACATGGTGAAACCCCATCTCTACTAAAAATACAAAAATTAGCCGGGGTGGTGGCAGATGCTATAATCCCAACTACTCGGGAGGCTGAGGCAGGAGAATCACTTGAACCTGGGAGGCAGAGGTTGCAGTGAGCCAAGATCACGCCACTACACTCCAGCCTGGGCGACAGAGTGAGACTCCATCTCAATAAATACATTATAATATAATATAATTAAAAAAATAAATTTGTAGAATGAGTCGGGCGCAGTTGCTCACGTCTGTAATCCCAACACTTTGGGTGGGCGAGGCGGGCAGACCACTTGAGGCCAGGAGTTCGAGACCAGCCTAGCCAACATGGTGAAACCCCGTCTCTACTAAAAATACAAAAGTTAGCTGGGCATGGTGGCCCATAATTTGTAGTCCCAGCTACTCCGCTCCAGTGCACTCCAGCTTGGGCGACAGAGTGAAACTGTCTCAAAAAGCCAACAAAACAATTGTTCAATGAATGAATGAATGCATGAAGAAATGGATGATATGAAGCACAGTCCAGCAGAATAAACACGCCCTAAACAGCACCCTAAGCAAATTGCATACACCGCTTTCCCGGAGTGGACACCAGAGGGCGCCGAGCTCGGCCCCTCTCAGCTCCGGATCAGGATTCGCGCCAGAGTCCTTAGAAAGGCGCCGCGCGGTGTCGTCATATCCGCCGGGGCGTCACGCACGGCGGGGCGGGGCGAGGAGAGCCAAACGTAAAGTCACCATGAGTTTCCCAGGCCCAGCTCTTTCTGCTGCCGGTGAGCCCCAAGCCTTGGCGGGTGCTTACGGGGAATAGGAGACTGGGCAGGCGTCAGGCGAGTCCGACGGAGACTGGGTAGGTAGAAGCCCTCCAGAGAGCGGTTGTTGTGCGGGCGCCGTCTCTGTCGGCCCCGCAGGCAGCGCATGCGCGGGGCGGGCAGCGCGGCCTTGGCTGCTGGTCCGCTTCGGGCCCGGGTGTCGGAGGCCTCCATACGGCGCCGCGTAGGGTCTCGACCGCAGAGGGTGGCTGCTAGGCCCGGGCGGGACCTCGAAACCGTGTGCTGTGCGCGCTGCATGCTCCCGGCGCGAGGTGAGAGCTGAGTGGTGGTGGTTGAAAAAAACTGAAAGCCGCTCAAGTGCTCAACAGTAGGGAAATTGAGGTTTTTAAAGTGATTAATTGATTTAGTCCAAAAACTGTACGTTGCACGCCCACTGTGCACGACCCGTGTTTTAGCGCCAACAGCAGTGAACTGGACAGCAAGATTCTGGAAGTCGACTTTCTGTTGGGGTGGGGGAGGGAAGTACAGATAAAGATAAACGAGTTACGTAATTGTCGTAGAAAAAGGCTGTGAAGAAGAAAGGGACGGGGCATGGGGATGGGGTGCGGTGTTAGCCGAGAAGGGCACTGGTCCAAAGGGAGTGAGATTTGAGCTAAGCCAAAAAGGAGGCAAGGGTGTGAGCCAGGTGGCTCTCTGAAGGAAGAGCATTCCCGGCGTGGGGAAAAGCTAGAGCCGAGGCCCAGAGGCGGGAGCGAGACTGGCGCGTGAGAAAGGGCTAGGCTAGGCCTGTGTGGTGGTGGGGATTGAGCGGAGGGAGAATGGCAGGGCTTGAGGTCAGAGCTGTGGAGGGAGCAGCCCTGTGGATCAGGCAGTGCCATGCAGGCTGCTCTAAAGACTTTGGCCTTACTCTGGGTAAAACGGGAACCTTAGCAAGGTTTTGAGCAGAGGAATGATGTAGCTTGAGTAGATGTTAATAGACTCACTGGCTGCCGTAGAGATGGAGAGTAGGGGGAATCAGTTTAGGAGCATCCCTGCAGCCTCTGTAAAAGACTGACTTTAGGCCGGGTGCGGTGGCTCACGCCTGTAATCCCAGCACTTCAGAAGGCCGAGGCCAGCGGATCACTTGAAGTCAGGAGTTCGAGACCAGCCTGAGCCAACATGGTGAAACCCCATTACAAAAGTTACCTGGACATAGTGACGTACGCCTGTAATCCCAGCTACTCGGGAAGCTAAGGCATGAGAATTGCTTCACCTCAAGAGCAGAAGTTGCAGTGACCCGAGATGGCATCACTGTCGCCTGGGCGACAGAGTGAGACTCCACCTCCAAACAAACGAACAAAAAGCCGGACTTTATCCCAGCACTTTGGGAGGTCAAGGCGGGTGGATCACGAGGTCAGGAGTTCAAGACCAACATGGCCAACATGGTGAAACCTCGTCTCTACTGAAAATACAAAAATTAGCCGGGCATAGTGGCACACACCTGGAATCCCAGCTACTCGGGAGGCTGAGGCAGGAGAATCGTTTGAATCTGGGAGGCGGAGGTTGCAGTGAGCCGTGATTGCACCATTGCACTCCAGCCTGGGCGACAGAGTGAGACTCCATCTCAAAACAAAACTACTTTAAAGGTGACGATGACAGTGACTTCGTGAGCCCACATCTATGGAGAGTCTGGTGAATATATTTAATACCAGTCTGTGCAGAAGAGTTTCCCAGGCATCCTCTCCTTTAATCTCAGAACAGCCTCCAGAGGACAATGCTGTCACTTTAATTGCAAAAAATATGTAACAAAATTTATCGTAAGTGGCATTAAGTATATTCACAACGCTGTTCAGCCGTCACCACTATCCATCTCATGAATGCTCCATGAGTCTTCATTTTACTGGCTTCTAAGCCCCTGGCATAATTTCACTCCCCTACTTTGGCAGCCAGCTCCATCAAAGCAGTTAGTAACACTAAAAAACACTTAGGTGCCAAGCAATGAAAGAAACAGATGAGGTTTCTGTTCTCCCTGCCCTACTCAGGGGACACTCTAGTGATTGGGAAAGAAGCATCAGATAACTATTTCTGCTGTCCTGAAACCAAGGATTCTTTTGAATATATAGGCCTACCACTATCACTTTTCCCTCATTTGAATACCTGCTTTTTATCATAGTATAATAGTGGTTTTGGTTTGTTAGTTTGTTTTGGAGACAGGGTCATGCTCTGTCACCCAGGCTGGAGTGCAGTGGTACAATCACAGTGCACTGTGGCCTTAACCTTTCAGACTCAAGCTGTCCACCCACCTCAGCCCCTGGAGTAGCTGGGACTACAGGCACACTACCATGCCTGGCTAATTAAAAAAAATTTTTTAGAGACAGGGTCTCATTATGTTTCCCAGGCTGGTCTCAAACTCCTGGCCCCATAAACTGTTGGGATTATAGGCATGAGCACCACTCCAGGCCCCAAAGTATTCATGTTTGTTGAATGGATTGGTAGTTGTAGCTCCTTGATCCTGACATCTTTTCTGCAGAGGTCGTCATCTGGGAGTGCTTAGAACTCGGTCTAGCCCAGAATGGTTTTGGAAATGCCGGTCCGTAGCTCTGTGACCTTGGATCAGTCCCTTTCCTTGACTGGGCCTCAGTTTCCTGGTCCCTGTAGTGGGTGATCCATATATTAAATAGGCAGTGTTAAGAGATTGCATAGCATGGGGACTTAATTTAGAGCAGGGTGTCAGAAAAGACCTCCATGAAGAGGTGACATTTAAACTAAAAGTTGAAAGATGAGTAGGACCCGTCCATGGGGAGAGCAAGGTTGATGTGGAGCCAAGGAGAGGAACAGTCTACAAAGAGGTCAGCATGTTGTACCTTCTTGAAAGTTCAGACCTTTTAGAAGCTGCGTTGAGTGCCCATTCCAGGAATTCCTCTTCTCAAGCCCTGTGCTGTGTATGCTCTGTCTTTCATGGATGGTCCTGCCCAGACCTGGCTTTTGGACTGAAAGCAGGCAGACCCAGGATGGGAGGAGATGGCAGAACGGCCACCCCTCATTCTTCTGTTTGTGTTCTGTGTTGACGGAGAGTAAACGAGAAGAGGACCTTCAAGTCTTAGATTTTACTCCTTTTCTTTTCCTTTGGATTAAGAGGTATCGTATCAGAGGTCTTGAGCAGGCTCAGGAGTGGTTGGAATCTCTGGGTACCCTTGGGCAGATGTTACCTGTGTTTACTAAACCTCTGTGCTCTCTTCTTGAAAGTGGGAATAATAATATCTCTTACCTCAGAAGCGTTTTGAAGACAGAAGCTAAGGCATGTGAAATGTTTATTAGCACAGAGCTGGGTGCTCAGTAAGAAAAATTGTTAGCCAAAGTTATGTTACTAGGTTTTAAGTAAGAGTACAGTGATTTGGCATATGCAGAATATAAAAACTTGTATTCATATGGGTAACCTTAGTTTGACCAGAATTAGACGAGTTACTGCGATCAGAAGTCTTAAAAACCAAACAGTATGCCAGGCGCGATGGCTCATGCCTGTAATCCCAGCACTTTGGAAGGCTGAGGTGGCCAGATCACAAGGTCAGGAGTTCAAGACTAGCCTGGCCAATATGGTGAAATCCTGTCGACTAAAAATACAAAAAAATCAGTTGGGTATTGTGGTACATGCCTGTAATCCCAGCTACTCAGGAGGCTGAGCCAGGAGAATTGCTTGAACCTTGGAAGCAGAGGCTGCAGTGAGCCAAGATCGTGCCACTGCACTCCAGCCTGGGCGACAGAACGAGACTCCATCTTAAAACAAAACAGGAAGGTGGGGCGTGGTGGCTCACACTTGTACTCCCAGCACTTTGGCAGGCTGAGGTGGGCAGATTGCTTGAGCCCATGGGTTTGAGACCAGGCTGGATGACATAGTGAAACCCTGTTCTACAAAAAATAGAAAAATTCTCTGGATGTGGTGGCATGCATCTATAGTCCCCGCTACTCAGGAGCCTGAGGCTATGGGATCATCTGCGCCTGGAGAGCCTGAGGTGGAGGCTGCAGTGAACTGTGATTGTACCACTGCACTCCAGCCTAGGTGACAGGGTAAGACCCTGCTTCAAAAAGAAAAAAAAACAAATAGGCCAAATTCTCATCAAAACTGAAAAATAGCAGGTGCGTTGGTCATTTCTAGCCCTTTTGACTTACTGTAGGTGTGATCAGCACTGGGAAAGATGCCTGCCCCTGCTGCTACATATGAAAGAGTAGTCTACAAAAACCCTTCCGAGCACCACTACATGAAAGTCTGCCTGTAAGTTTAGTTTCCTAAGTTCTATTTTAGATTACTTTCTAACATGAATCCCAATAGAATGAAATTTATATGATGTCTTTTTTTTTTCATGTTTTTTTTTTTAGAGAATTTCAAGATTGTGGAGTTGGACTGAATGCTGCGCAGTTCAAACAGCTTCTTATTTCAGCCGTGAAGGACCTGTTTGGGGAGGTATGGAATCACTTGGTAGATTGAACATGCCAAAGATCTTTGTAAGAAATTCAGAAAGAATGCTTTTCAAACATTAAAAAAAATGTTTTTTAATTGTACAACTCTGCATTTTTAAATTTTTTATTCATTTATTGTAATAAACACCTTTATATTTCTTTTTTTCCGCTTCATCCTCTCCACCCCCATCCTTCCCAGCCTCTGGTAATCACCAGTCTTTCTATCCTCATGAGATCTACTTTTTTAGCTCTCACGTGAGTGAGAAAATGTCTTTCTGTGCGTGGCTTACCTAACAAAACGGCCTCCCGTTCTATTCATGTTGCTGCAAATGACAGGATTTCATTCCTTTTTATGGCTGAATAATATTCCATTGTAATACATACCACATTTTCTTTATCCATTTATCCGTTGATTGGCACTTAAGTTGATTCTATATTTTGGCTATTGTGAATAGTACTGCAATAAATATGAGAGTGCACATGTCTTTTTGATACTAATTTCCTTTCACTTGGATGTATGCTCGATGGTAGACTTGCTGGATTAAATAGTATTCTATTTTTAGTTCTGTTTTCTTTTTGTTTTTTTGTGTTCGAGATGACGTCTTGCTGTGATGCCTAGGCTGGAGTACAGTGGCGTAGTCATGGCTCACTGCAGCCTCAGCACCCAAGCTCAAGTGATTCTCCCACCTCAACATCCCGCATAGCTGGGACCACAGGCATGTGCCACCATGCCCAGCCAATTTTTTTACTAGTAGAGATGAGGTCTCAGTATGTTGTCCAGGCTCCTGGCCTCAAGCAGACCTCCTACCTTGTCCCCCCAAAGGGTTGGGATTACAGATATGAGCCATCACACCTGACCTATTTTTAGTTTTTTGGGAAACCTCCATACTCTTCTCTATAGTGGTTGTACATTTACATTCCAACCAGTAGTATATGGGGGTTCCCCTAGAGATTATTTTAAAACTCTGTTTGAAGTTGTAGAAGTAGACTTTGAGAAGTGATGAATTTTGATAGGTTTATTCTATTATGCCTTCTGTTTGACAAGGAACATGTTAGACAGATGTTTGTTCTGGCACAGTGCTCCTCAAAGTGTGGCCTAGACTGGCAGCCTGCAAACTCTCTGACCATCTTGAAGAGATGAGGAATTTGCAGCAGAATCAGCACACTATCACTTTTAATGAGAAAGTCTCCTTATGGTCCGGGCATTGTGGCACATGCCTGTAATCTCAGTTCTTTGGGAGGCTAAGGCGGGCAAATCACTTAAGGTCAGGAGTTTTAGACCAGCCTGGCCAACATGGTGAAACCCCCTTCTCTACTAAAAACATAAAAATCAGCTGGGTGTGGTGGTGACACCTGTAGTCCCAGCTACTTGGAAGGCTGAGGCATGAGAATTGCTTGAACTCCGAAGGTGGAGGTTGCAGTGAGCTGAGATGGCACCACTGCATTCCAGCCTGGGCATCAGAGCAAGACTCCATCTCAAAAAAAAAAAAAAAAAAATTAAAAAAAAAAAGGCTCCTTATGAAAAAAAAAAAGATGAACTGAACTAAACACTGTGATTAATTATACTATTGGTTTACATTCCGATTGAACTCCCTATTTTGTCATAGGCCCACACTTTAAGCAGATTTGTCTTAGCATTCCTTTGAGAACAGAAGTAGAGTTGGAAGTTGAGAGAAGACAGAGGATGCTCAGGAAATTATTTTCTGATACATCTGTCCATCAAATCAAATGTCCGTCAAATCAAAAGATGCTAAGTACCTCATCAAAATTTAAAACTTATATTTTGCAAAAGACTCTTAGGAGGATGAAAATGGCAGGCACGGTTGCTCACAGCTATAATCCCACCCCTTTGAGAGGCCAAGTGGGTGGATCACTTGAGCCCAGGAGTTCCAGACCAGCCTGGATATCTGGTGAAACCTCATCTATACAAAAAATTTAAAAAATTGAGCTGGGCATGGTGGTGTTGCACCTATAGTCCCAGCTAGTTAGGAGGCTGGGGTGGGACGATTGCTTGAGCCCAGGAGCTCCAGGTTGCAGTGAGCTGTGATCACAGCACTGTGGGGGAGAAAAAGGATGAAAAGATGAATTATGGACTGGGGGGAAATAGTTGTAAACCACATATCCAACAAAGGACTAGTGTCTAGAATATATAAATGATTTTGGCCTGGTGCAGTGGCTCAGGCCTGTAATCCCAACACTTTGGGAGGCTAAGGCAGGAAGACTGCTTGAGGCCAGGAGTTTGAGGCTGTGGTGAACTATGATTGCACCACTGCACTGCAGCCTAGCTAACAGAGCAAGACCCTATCTCAAAAATAATAATAATAATAATAGGCGGGGTGTGGTGGCTCTCGCCTATAATCCCAGCACTTTGGGAGGACGAAGTGGGTGGATCACCTAACATTGGGTGTTTGAGACCAGCCTGGCCAACATGGCAAAACCCCGTCTTTTTTTTTTTCTTTTTTCAGGTGTCAAGTTCATTTCAGTAGCACGGAGCAAAACTCTGTCTCTACTAAAACTATAAAAATTAGCAGAGTGTGGTGGCACACGCCTGTAATTCTAGCTACTTGGGAGGCTGAGGCAGGAGAAGTGCATGAACCTGGGAGACGGAGGATGCAGTGAGCCAAGATTGCACCACTGCACTCCAGCCAGGGTGACAGAGTGAGACTCTCAAAAAATAATAATAATAAAGAAGTATCAAAACTCAATAGTAAGAAAACAAATAATCCAATTAGAAAATGGGCAGAAACATTAACAGACATTTCACTAGAGAGGATGTATGGTTGGCAAGCACGTGGAAAGATGCTTAGCCATTGGGGAACTGCACGTTAATGACACAATGTGATACCGCTGTGTACCTAGCAGAATGACTGAAATAATAACAGGCCGGGCGTGGTGGCTCACGCCTATAATCCCAGCACTTTGGGAGGCCGAGGCGGGTGGATCACGAGGTCAAGAGATCAAGACCATCCTGGTCAACAAGGTGAAACCCCGTCTCTACTAAAAATACAAAAATTAGCTGGGCATGGTGGTGCGCACCTGTAGTCCCAGCTACTTGGGAGGCTGAGGCAGGAGAATTGCTTGAACCCAGGAGACAGAGGTTGCAGTAAGCCGAGATTGTGCCATTGCACTCCAGTCTGGGTAACAACAGCGAAACTCCGTCTCAAAAAAAAAAACAAAAAAAAAAAACACTAAATGCTAACAAGAATGCGAAGAAACTGGATCACTCATACATTGCAATGGGTATGTAAAATGGTGCAGCCATTCTGGAACATAGTTTGGAAGTATCTTTAGCAAATTGAACATGCATTTGTCATAGAACTCAGCATTGGCACTCCTGGGCATCTATTCCAGAGGAATGAAAACTTAGGTTCACACAAAAGCCTGTACATTGTACATGAATATTCATAGCAGCTTTAATAACAAACTGAAAATACCCCATATATCCTTTAATGGGTGAATAGACTATGGTGCATTCCTGCTATGGAATATACTCAGCAATGAAAACGAATGACCTATTGATAGACACAATAGGGATGAATCTCCAGAGAATTATGCTGAATGAAAAAAAAAAGCATATGTAATGTAACAAAACATTACATACTGGGTGTTTCCATTTATAGAAGACTCTTGAAATAAAATAATTATATAGTCTGGAGAAAGGTTAATGGTTGCTGGGGTGAGGAGTAGGGGAAGAAGAGTGGGTGTGGCTGTAAAGGGTAGAATAGGGAGTCTTATGGTGGTACAATTCTTTTATTATGACCTATGTGGGAAAATTACATATAGCCACACACAGGTATAAATATGAGTACATGCATAATTGGTGAAATCTCAGCCTCTGGATTTTACCAATACCAGTTTTCTAGTTTTGCTACTGTACTATAATTATGCAAGGCGTTGACATGGTGGGAGGCTGGATGAAGAGTGCATGTACCTCCTTGTACATTTCTTTGCGATCTCTTGTGAATCTGTAATTTTTTAAAATACAAAATTAAAAAAATCCCTGTGTGTACCTGTATGTCAGTTCGAAAACTTTGTCCTGGGATTTATATAGCTGCGAACAAACAGACATGGCCTCTGCTGCGTGGACTGATGGTCTTGGTTCTTGTAGTAGGAAAACAAGTTAGGCAATTAGTGACAAGAATGAAGAGAATTATGAAAGAGGAAGTATGGTGTCCCGTACAAGAAAGAACATAGCAAGCTGACTTTGTCTCATCTTAAAGATCAGTCAAGGAACAATTTAAATGAAGGCTTAAAGGATGAGGGACTGATTATCAGCCATATGAAGAGGTGTAGGCAGAACATTCTAGGCAGGGGAAGCTGTAATCAAATAGGCAACTCAAGCACCAGCACCATTAAATACAGCTGTTGTGGAGAATAAAAGCTAAACATTCAGTGTTTGACAAAACTTGACAAAGCATTCAAGAATAGTGGTGATAACAGCCTGCTAATAGTATTATTCCATATGCAGGTTGATGCCGCCTTGCCTTTGGACATCCTGTGCTATGAAGAGAAGACCTTGTCAGCCATCTTGAGAATATGTAGCAGGTATGACAGAGAGTGGGATATTTCTAGTATAACAAGGCAGAGAGACCGATGGAGAATTGGAGCAAAAATTCTTTCTTCTGAGAATGAGAATAATATTGTCATTGTAAACTCTGAGCAGCTTTTGGGAATTTAAACTGGAGTGAATATGAACATTCATCCACCAGAAACTTGTACTCTAGAGAGAGCAAAACTTATGCTTTGGTTACAGCTATAGTTTCACATTGATGGTTATAGTTGCAAAGTCCGAAGTGAATATTTCAGAAACCTTTAGTTGAGATTCATTTTGTTTTCTGCCTGTGATATACTATGTATTTTCTTGATCTTTCTGCAGTGGTCTTGTCAAATTGTGGAGCTCTTTGACCTTGTTAGGATCCTATAAAGGCAAAAAATGTGCTTTCCGGGTGATTCAGGTAAAGACTATTCCCTCACATATTCCAAACAAGACTGATGATGGCTCAATCGCTTATTAATATACATAGCTCGTTTTTGTGTTTGCATAAATGTAATATGGTTAACATGATCTAAGTAGGGGAAAATAAAGGACTTGATTGTTTTAAAAAATGTGAGACACAGCACTTAAGATTTTAAAGCCTGTGGGAGATTGTTCTGGGATAAAAGTTGCTACTCTGTGGTTAAGTCTTATTTTTCATTTAACACTTAATGCTTTGGGTGTTATATATTGGTATGCTCCTTTTGAGCTATGACTACTTGTTATCGAAGGCTTCCTCTTGGGATGCTCTTTAAAATGCGCCTGCATTCACTTTGTTTATCCTGTAAAACTGGACATGTTTCCACATTGCCCTGTACTTCAGTGCAGTTTCTCTTGATGTCGTAACCTTTTTCTTTCTCTTGTAGGTTTCTCCATTCCTCCTGGCGTTATCTGGTAATAGTAGGGAACTAGTATTGGATTGAAGGAATAGTCTTCTATTTTGGAAACATTCCTCCACTCTCAGATTTATTTTTTGGTGCCTGCATGTTTGAAGACTGAAGCAGGCTAAAAGCTCTTGATGAAATTTGAGGGTGCTGAAGATGTTCCCACTAATTTCCAGCCATCACCTTTGGTGGGGTGGGCTCCAGAGGAGAGTCTGCCTGAACCTCCCGGTGCTGACCCTGCAGCACTTTCAGCGTATGCACATCAGAGTTGGAGACCGTGCTGAACTTAGGAGGGCCTTCACACAGACGGATGTGGCTACCTTCTCAGAGTTAACAGGGGATGTCAATCCTTTGCATCTAAATGAAGACTTTGCAAAACACACCAAGTTTGGAAATACAATTGTACATGGAGTTTTGATCAATGGACTTATCTCAGCTCTCCTGGGAACTAAAATGCCAGGGCCAGGCTGTGTATTTCTTTCCCAGGAAATTAGCTTTCCAGCCCCTTTATATATTGGAGAAGTTGTTTTAGCTTCTGCAGAAGTGAAAAAGCTAAAGCGGTTCATTGCTATTATTGCAGTGTCATGTTCAGTAGTAGAAAGTAAAAAGACTGTTATGGAAGGCTGGGTTAAAGTTATGGTTCCAGAAGCTTCTAAATCCTGAAATACGTGTTTAAAGATGCAACCTCAAACACCAATGCTGTTATTATAGAGCCTTTGGGGAAATGGATTGCTGCTCTTCACCAAAGAATGGTTGATAGGCCCAGAAGCCCATCCTAGTTAGGGGAAGGGAACAGATAGAGGGCTGTTCAAATGCCCACTTTCTGGTTTGGCCTTATGCAAGAGTGTATGCAGGAATTCTCTCCCTGTTTTTTTTTTTTGTTGTTTTTTGTTTTTTTGAAATTCAAGAAATAGGCTATGCATGGTGACTCCTAACTGTAATCCTAGCACTTTGGGAGGCTGAGGCAGATGGATCACTTGAGGTCAGCAGTCCAAGACCAGCCTGGCCAACATGGTGAGACCTCATCTCTACAAAAAGAAAATGTAAAAATTAGCAGTGCTTGGTGGCTTGGGCCTGTAGTCCCAGCTGCTTGGGAGACTGAGGTGGGAGAATTGCTTGGGCCCAAGAGCTGGAGGTTACAATGAGAAGCTGAGATCGCACCTCTGCACTGCAGCCTGGGTGACAGAGCAAGACCCTGTCTCAAAAAAAAAAAAGTATTGGGAAGGTTACTTACCTAAAGACTCTACTTTTAAGTCAGGTGTGGTGGCGTACGCTTATAATCCCAGCACTTTGGGAGGCCGTGGTAGGCGAATCACTTGAGGTCAGAAGCTCAAGACTAGCCTGGTCAACATGTGAAACCCCATTTCCACTAAAAATACAAAAATTAGCTGGGCGTGGTGGCAGGCACCCAGCTACTTGGGAGGCTGAAGCAGGAAAATCGTTTTAACCTGGGAGGTTGCAGTGAGCTGAAATCATACCACTGCACTTGAGTCTGGATGACAGAGCAAAACTCCATCTCAAAAGAAAAAGATTCTACTTTTAGGAATTCAGACCTAGATAGATTTGCATTTGGATAACAAAACCCTTCCTATATCTGTGTAGAAGCAGCTTCTCACTGAATTTCAACTGTGTATCGATTACTAAAGACAAAAATAGAAGTTGGATCATCTTTGAACACCTACCTTTTATCAGTGAATATCCTTAGACCCTGCTCTTCAGTAGTTACTGAGTCAGAGTTTATTGTAATTTGTTGTTTACACCAAGGTGGCATCTTGCTCTGCCTTCTGTGAGACTTGCGTTTCAGGGAAGGGGCGTATGTGCGCCCTTGGTCTCAGTTATATGCACTGCCTGATCTATGGTAACACCTGCCACGTGGGATAATTGGGGAAGATAATAGATGGAGTTAAGCACAGGGCCCAGCCTGTCAGCAGCAGCTACTATTACTGTTGCCCATTTCCCCTGCAATGGAGGTGAGAGGTTTTCCTGAGTTTGAAGCTGACTGGCCCACAGTTAAAAACGTCTTTCAGGGTGTCAACCAACCTCTACTAGTGTTCTTAAGTGCAGTTTCTGTTTTAAAAGTTAAGATTATTCCTTGAAAACGTGGATCTACCTCTCATTATATAAATAATACATGCTTATTTAAAAAATATATATATTAAGACCATGGATGCCAAATTCTTAAGACTGGGGGTGGGTTTTTGAAGGGGAAACATGCCTAACATGTTAGTACTAAATGGCCATCCCAACACAGCCAACACTTTTGTTTTCCATTTTTAAATAACATTGAGACATAATTCACATACCATAAAATTCACCTTTTTATAGTGTACAGATCAGTTTTCAGTATATCCACAAAGTTGTATAGCCATCACCAAAGCAATTTTTCATATAACTCTTCTCATCCCCAAAAGAAACCCCCATTAGCAGTCAATCCATTTCTCTCCTCCAGTCCTAGGGAATCACCAGGCTCCTTTCTGTTTATGGATTTCCCTGTTCTGGACATTTCATATAAGTTCATACAATATGTGGTCCTTTGGAACTGGCTTCTTTGATACAGCGTGGTTTCAGGGTTCATGTTACAGCATGTATGAGTACCTCATTCTATTTTATGGCTGAATAATCCATTGTATTTACCCATCCATCAATTGATATTTGTATTATTTCTGCTTTTTGGTTAAGAATAATGCTATGAACATTATAGAAGAGGTTTTTGGGCCAGGCGTGGTGGCTCACGACTGTAATCCCAGCACTTTGGGAGGCCACGGCGGGTGTATAATGAGGTCAGGAGATCGAGACCATCCTGGCCATGGTGAAACATCGTCTCTACTAAAATGCAAAAAATTAGCTGGGTGTGGTGGCACACACCGGTAGTCCCAGCTACTCAGGAGGCTGAGGCAGGGGAATCCCCTGAATCCGGGAGACGGGAGGTTGCAGTGAGCCAAGATTGTGCCATTGCACTCCAGCCTGGCGAAAGAGCAAGATTCCGTCTTAAAAAAAAAAAAAAAAAAAAAAAAAGTGTGCACGTTTTCATTCTCTGTAGGAGTGGAATTGCTGGGTCATGTAACTTTAAAGAATTGTCAAATTGTTTTTCAGATTACTATTGGGTGTGAGATGGTATCTCGTAGTTATGATTTTCATTTCTCTAGTGTCAGCCAGCACATTCAAGACAATCTACGACAGAATTTTTTATTTTAATTTTTACCAAGAGAGCTGCTTAACAGACAGCTAGAAAGAATTATCGTAGTCGCTAGAGGGCAGTGCTGTGTATAAAGTTAGTACTTTAAAACTGGGAAGATAAGACCAAAATCAGTGTGAAGAGAAAAGATACCACAGCATATGCAGGCCGAGATCCACTTAAAGAAGACTTACTTGAAGATGAATCACTAGACATGCTGAAAATGTGTTCAAATGGCAAGACAAAATAGGGATTATGAGGTACAAATATATGGACTTGAGGCCAAGACTGCTTGCTCCTGCAGAACTCATTCCGTGGGATTTAGCAGCAGTCTTAAAATTGGGTCCATAACTGGATTGGGAAGTGATCATTGATACTGATAGCCACCATTTTTTCAATGCCCGATAAGCTGATTTTCTACATTAATCCTTGAAACAACTTTGTGAAGTTAATGGTTATCCTGTTTATAAGTCAGATAACTGACTTGACCAAGGTTGTACAGTGAATAAGCAGTACATCTGGGATTCAAATTTGGGCCTGCTTGGCTCCAAAGCCTTTCTTTTTTCCATCATTCTATGGGTCTTAGGTTCCTATAGAGGCCAAGGGGAAAATTATCCTTTGCCCTCTGAAGGTTCATTGAAAAACCAATGGAGAAAAGGCATACAAATATTAACTTGCATGTGGGGGAGACCCACAGAGTGATTACCCCCCAAGCCCCTACCCAATAGGCTTTAGAAGCTTAAATACCACCTTAAGGTTACAGAAAGTTTGGGCTCGGATCACAGCAAAACAGGTTCTAGGAGCAAGAGAAGAGGAAGCCTGACTAGCAAAAGTGGTCTTGTTATGTAAATGAAGCCCCACAGGTGGCAGCCCTCAAAAGAATAGATGATAAATGTTTTTGAGACAGTTTCACTCATTGCCCAGGCTGGATTACAATTCCATGGTCTTGACTCAAGCAGTTCTCCTGCCTCAGCCTCCCAAGTAGGTAGGATTACAGGCGCCAGCCACCATGCCTGGCTGATTTTTGTATTTTTAGTAGGGACGGGGTTTCACCATGTTGCCTAGGCTGGTCTATCAGGTGATCTGCCGAACTCGGCCTCCCAAAGTACTGGAATTACAGGCGTGAGCCACCGCGCCTGGCAGGTTTCACCGAGATCCAGACAAGGAAAGGCCTGGCTGCATCAAGCAGATTGTCTGCAAATGCAAGTTTCCCCGACAAAAGACAGCTTTGCAGGGCTACTTCTGTTGGCTCTATGAACAGCCATCTCAAAATAACAGCATCTTATATGGCATTAAAGTAATTGGAGTAATTCTATAGCAATCTTTTTGCTTTCTGAACGTTCTAGATCTTATTCCCTGCTAGAGTTGTAGCATTTTCCTAATACCATTAGTTGAAAGTCTTCCACTCATGCATATCACCTACCCTTTTTCTAAGATTATTTGTCTTCACTGCAGAATTGCTTAAGGGTTAGCCTAAAGATGAGAAGTATAGGTTGGGGAAGGGATGTCAGATCTGAATGATAGTTGATTTCTACTGTGTAACTTTTAAAAGTACCTTTTCAGTGTAAGCATTTCCACTGTTTTTTTGTTTCTTTTCTGAGATGGAGTCTCACTCTGTCTGGCAGGCTGGAGTTGCAGTGGTACAATCACTGCAGCCCTTCCTGGGCTTATACAATCCTGCCTCAGCCTCCTGTATAGCAGGGACTGCAGGTGCACAACACCATGTCTGGCTTATTTTTTTATTTTTTTGCAGAGATGAAGTCTCACTTTGTTGCCCAAGCTAGACTCAAACTCCTGGGCTCAAGCAGTCCTCCCACCTTGACTTCCCAAAGTGCTGGGATTATAGGCATCAGCCGCTGTGTTCGGTCTTCATGTTCACTTTTAAAAAATGTATTCAATTTTTGTAGAGATGGGGGTCTGACTGTGTTACCCAGGCTGGTCTTGAACGACTGGTCTCAAGCGATACTCCTGCCTTGGCCTCCCAAAGTGCTGGAATGAGCCTCTGCATACAGATTTCCGCATTTTTATATTCCCTAAGAATCATGGTCTTTGAAATCTATAAATAAAAGTTGGAACAGAGAAGTCGACAAGAAGTTATCAGTACTTCTCTTTAAATAATAACGTCATTTTTATCCAGAGCCAAGATTGTCAAACCACTCATGTTTTGTTAAAGCTGGCTATAAGGACAACTGGTTGCTTGGCTTTCTCATTCTGAGTCTATGACTCTTTCAATGAACGCTTGAGTGACCCTCAAATTAGGAAATCCTCTCCCAGATAATTGAGAAGTGGCCTTGACTGTACCAGGTCAGATTTGGAAGTGAGTAAAAAAGTCATGACTAAAATAGGCCAAGTTAAGGCTGGACACAGTGGCTCACACCTACAATCCCAGCACTTTGGGAGGCCAAGGTAGGTGGATCACAAGGTCAGGAGTTTGAGACCAGCCTGACCAACATAGTGAAACCCTGTCTCTACTGAAAATATAAAAATTAGCTGGGCATGGTGGTGAAAGCCTGTAGCCTCAGCTACTCGGGAGGCTGAGGCAGGAGAATTGCTTGAACCTGGGAGGCAGAGGTTGCAGTGAGCCAAGATCATGCCACTGCCCTCCAACCTGAGCAACAGGACCACAACAGCAGCGAGACTCTGTGTTAAAATAAAATAAAATAAAATAAATAGGCCAAGTTGTCCTAGCACTTTCTATATAGGGGCATTATGCGACTGCAAATTATGTGATGTTTAATTGTCACAGAAAGAGATACCCATTTTAAGCACTTTTAGCCTAATGTACTGGAAAATTGCTTAATGGATTTTTAGGTTCTATTAGAAACATTTCCATGCTGGTGAAATGCCACTCATTTCTTTTTCTGAACAGCAAATCTTGAGTAGCAATGGGAAGAAAGCCTGGCAACAGACACCGTTTGTCTTGTGGACCTGACGTGCGTATTCACCTAGAAAAAGAAGAAATTGCTAAATGCACACTGATACCTCTTAGGTAACCACAGGTTTTCATTTTGTGCTGAATTATTAGTCATTTTTCCTTTATGATTTTAGAGTATGATTCAGTGACCAATTTATTCCTAAAGAAAATTGCTATTACATACATCCATTAAGTTTTTATATTAAAACATTTTCTACCAAGGGATGACTGTCACTGAGCAACTGTGCCAATGTGAATGCCTCATGTGTCAACATAGCTTATTACCTAGCTCTGTCTGAGCAGGATGGGAGTGCTGCCAAATTAGTCTTGGTCCACAGGTATCTCCAGGGTCTCAGATGTTTCACCTCCTTTGTTCTTATCTTTGCTTTTATTTAGGCTTACAAACACAGCAGATAAATGAATTCTCAGCATCTTCAGAGAAATTGTGGGTTAGAGTAGAATCACCAGCTAGAAGAAACCATTTAAATTCAAAATCATAAGGAACCCAGAACCAATGTTAATGCTACGTAAATACAAGATTAATCGGAGGCCCCACAGTTCATTCCTAAGGTGGTTCTTAGCTATAAAGCAATTCAAATGACCTTCTTATAAACCCTGGGCGAAAGTCCCTGTGATGAGGTGGAAAATAACACGTAAAGGAAATAAGAATGACTGTGGCTTGAGTTTTGTTGTTTTAGATCCAGCTCATGAATATTTAAAAAAATAAAAGCATTTTGAGTTGGGAGGCCATGCTGCTTAGGAAACACTGAGTTTTTCACAAGCTTCTATGATTTGATTTCGTAGAGTAGTTGCCAAGCCTAGGAGCATCCTCACTAAAATTCATTATCTTCAGTCAATCTGGGCAAACATCAAGTTGTTAGACAAACAACCTGTGGGCCATCTAAACATTTGGCAACAGTGGAAAAAAATATATATATATATATATTTGCTAGCCCTGAGTAGTTGTGTGTGTGGCAAAAGCTGAGAAAGCTGAGGTTCCCTCATTCCTCTTTAGCTTTAGGCAGCCTGAGACTATAGAAACAAAATTGA